CAGTTGGCATTGGCCGGCGGATGGAATTCGGAGGAGGCCTAATCTGTGGGATCTGATCGGTCTGTTGGAGGCAATTGGCTGTTCAACTATGTATTAGATTTGATGTTACCAAGCCAGCATGTTCTGTGGTCGCCCCTTCTTCTTGTTCCACTAACTATTCCTAGCATCATTGATTCTCCAGTGAATTTGCATGCATGATACGGCCAAGATAAATCAGATGTAGTCTTCTGATTGGCTTCTAGTGACATGTCTGGTCCAGTAGTATTTTGGTATTTTTTAAAATATACATTGATATCTAACTGTGGTATATATATTTTCCCCCCCACAACCCTACGAGGAAGGTGGGTTTGAGATTAATTTAGAGCCCTCAGGTGATTTTCCTTGTTTGAAGATGGACAAGAACTTGGCTCTTCCAGCTCCTAGTCCAACTGATTTGTCAATAGAGTTCCATGCTTGTAATAGGCTAATCAATTTTTTATAGGTTTCTCTAAATGTTGGTGTTGGGCTTTAAAGTTCTTCTGTTCTGAACTTCATCTTGGTGTGCATATATTTGGCATATCCAAATTTGTATAAATGCTTTCTTTACCTGAACAGTCTTACTATATTTCATTGCCCTGCTGGATGGCCAAATGGCTTCTATTGTTTTTGAAGAGAAAGACTTGGCAGCTAAATAGCTGCAGAAAAAAAATTATGTTGTTGACAGAAATCTCTGATTTGCTTGGATTATGCCTCCTGCCTCTGTGGTGGTCTGTAGCCACATTATAAATGTGACTAATTTTTGCTAATGTCAGTGAAAATGTCAGTATTATGGACGTGAACAGGAAAATTATTCACGTAGCTTTGGGTGGGATGGATGTGGTCCTCACCATTTCCTGTATATACCATTTTTTTTAAAAAAAAAATGGCTTGGTATATATTTAAATGCCTTTTGTAGTTAAAATGTTCACAATCGCTTTTAGTTAGCTTTCTTTAAATGAATGGCTCTAGCCCTGTAGAATTGTTTAGCACCTAAAAATTACGTTAAATATTTCTTTAAAGCCTTTAGATAATTATCGTATTAATTATCTTAATGACAGTTTGTAGATTATTCTGAAACTTTGTTCTGGAGACAGGTTGAGAGTTGTTTCTTTAAAGTATATTTAAACTGCCTATAAAAGCAAAATTTCAGAAATTTCATGTACTGTATGTTGCTGTAGTTCTCTCCTATTAAGGCAAGCTGAATGTAAGAAATTGCATTTCTGAATATATATATATAGTGTGTGTGTGTGTGTGTGTGTGTGTGTAGAGTGGGGGCCTGTTGTAATTTCCTATAGACTTTTTCACATTGACTTTCTATGAGATCAGAATGGTACTGTGATAACTACTAAATGGCTACATTTTTCATGTGTACTGTCTCTTTCCACCAATGGTGGAATATGGTGGAATGAAATATGCCTTCCCTACAATGTGCACAAATTAATTTGGTGGCAATTTTGGTTTCCTACAGTGTAGTGGTGTCACTTTTACTCCAGGGATTTCCACTTAAAGCAATAGACCCACTTGCAGTTTTGCCTGAGCCTAGAAACCTTTACAGTCATGAAAATGACCGTATAATTTTCTCCATTAAAAAATATTCATCTTCCTTAAACCATTTGTTTCATTACACACATGAATCTTTATATGCCTCATTATTAACGTTTAATGTTGAAAAATTGCTATTTCAATTAATATGTTTCAGAATAAAACCTACACGTTTGGTTCATTTTATGTTAATTAAAATCTTATATTTTTTAAAAAAAATTTGGAGAGATTATGTACAGAGATGTCATAGATATTAGGAAAGGATGTTGCTTCCAGCTTGTAATTCCCATGATTAAATCCTGCTTTTAAACTAGTGTCCTGAAATGCTGAAGGCCAGACTAAACTCAATGCACAAAAGTCTGGTAATACAAATATTTCTGGTTTTTCAAGAAAAACCTCCAGATAGGAAAGAGACTTTGAAAAAAAAAGTTGCTGATCTGAACATTCATGACTATAGTAATACAGCTTCTATTTATGTTCGGGTATAAAATTTTTCTTTAAATTATATACATTGTGTGTTTCTGATCTCTGGAATCTTGAGCTTATTTAATGAGCGGTAAAACTTAAAATGTTTTGAATGAATGTTGTATCACCAGTCTTTTAAACAATAACAAGGGAAGAAAAACTGTTATGCCAAAGATAAAAATATTTACCCCGTTTTTGCATTGTTTCCCCATTTTTGGTCCAATTTAGTAATGTAACTATTTTGTTCAGTCAAATAATTTGTAAAACGGGAATGAAGAATCTTCAGCACATGGAAGATTCTTTAGTGAAATGCCTTCTATTCCGTTGCTGCTTATCCTACACCAATACGTATCTTTTGAGTAGGAAAAGGCCAGGGGAAGCTGGCTCTTATAAGGTCCTTGATGCTCTTTAAGCTTGGTTGTTTCCTTGTAGATGTTTCATTATCATGCTGGGTAACATCATCGGTTCTAGAAGGGAATGGGGTTTTCTCTTGTTTTATGTACTAGTGGTTGACTGCCAGTGTCGCTAGGAATAGTATTTTCTGCTTTGTGCTTCCTTGATTGGAGTATTGATTTTTGTCTAGTGTTAATCTCGGCGTTAATGTCTGTTCATCTGGATACTAATTGCTAGTGAGAAAGTATTTTGGTCTTTGTTTCCTTTATGGCTTTTTGGTTGCCTCTCTTGAATGGTATGTAGATGTTATTTATTTCTATGTGTCTGTTGATGGCCAATTTGTCTGAGCACCAGGTTTCCAGAAATTCTCTAGCATTTTGAAACTTGGCTTGGCCTAAGATGCTCAGAGTTTCCAAGTGGAAAGTATGTTAAGTCTGTCCATGTGTTGTGAAATTCAGGAGTTTTTATCATGTCCACTGACCAGCACAACTATAATAACAGGTCGCTTGTGTGTCCGAAGCCCTCTAGATATGTCAGAGAAAAAAGGAGAAATGGTGTGACAACACAAAAAATAAGTGTCTAAAAACACAAAAGCAACATTTGTGAATATCCATGGGATATTTTTCCTATTCTAACTCTTCTACCTTTGTGAAATTAAGCTAATCTGGATCTATCCTATAAGGTTTCCTTTCCCTGGACAGGTAGACAAAAATTCAAAATCCAGTTTAAACATCTCTATGACGAACAATAATATTACATTTATCCTGCTTTCTCTCTCTCTCTCTCTCTCTCTCTCTCTCTCTCTCTCTCTCTTTCTCTCTCTCTCTATGTATATGTATATATAAAGTGTGTGTGTGTGTGTGTGTAAATGTATGTATGTTTCTACAGTATATATCAGTAAGTGCATGATAATGATTATATAGTCAATTATTTGTGAACAAATAATTTAAAATTAAAGTTATTTAATTTGTTCCTCTGTGTGTGTAAATGTATCTATGTATGTTTCTATAGTATATATCAGTAAGTGCATGATAATAATGATTATATAGTCTGAAGCTATTGCGAACAAATAATTTAAAATTAAAGTTTAATTTGTTCCTGTGATATTTATGTTTTGGCTATGTATTTTTCAAAAGAGCATAATGAATTAAAGTTGATGCTGGAGGAATTCTGCATAATACTTGGGGCTCTGTAGGGTAGCTAAGAAAACATGGGCATCTGTTTTGAGCAAGATGAGGAAAAGATCCTGTAGAAAATGAGTTTGTCCATTCTAATATTTGTTAACATATTTTGTTTTTCAGTCTTGGCCTAAGTATGAGGATATTTATAAAAAAATGCATGCCCTTGCAGATTTCATCGATCTGCCTTGTTTTCCAGATATAACAGAGGGCAGCTTTCTTCATCCAAATATTCTTTGCATGAAATACATGATGGAAATCAACTTGCCTGGTAAGGGAATATTTAGTAGTCTACTTTAGTATCTTCTAGTTGTTTATATGTTCTTGGTCAAAACTAGTGGTAGGTTTCAAAAATTGTTGGAACCTACTCTGTGGGTGTGGCCTCCTTTGTGGGAGTGGCTTGCCACCCATGTGACTGGATGGGAGTGGCTTGCTGCCCATGTGACCGGATATGAAATTATGAATTAGTACTTAGGTCGGTCCAAGTAGCTATTCAGAAACTCTGGCATTGAAGCATGCAAGTCTTAAAGCTGTCAAGTTACAAGATCCTTGCCAGTGGTGGGTTTCAATAAAAATTGGAACCTCTTCTGTAGGTGTGGCCTGCTTTCCGGGTCCACTGGTGGAACCTCTTCTAACCGGTTCGGTAGATTTGACGAACCGGTTCTACCGAATAGGTGCGAACTGGTAGGAACCCACCTCTGGTCAAAACCTTATTTTTTGAAACAGAGGGTCCTATAGTAAAACAAGATAATGGGTACAATGAACAAGCAATTGGACCTTTACAAAACAAAAATAAAGATATTTGTCTGTCTGTCTATCATCTATCACATTTATTCAGACAATCACTGCATCTAGTGAAGGTTTGTGACATCCTTGCTAACTCGAAAAGTCAGAAAGATTCTTACATTATGCTCTGAATTTAGTGTAATAACTTAAAAAGAAAACCAAGAACACTTAAGTTAATCATACTATCAATCTATAAAACCTCAACACATACTTTTTTAAATTTAATTTTTGACCTGACCATGAACTGTAATTTAATTTTACTTAGTGTATTAAGTTTCTGATTGCTTATACTTTCTAACAAAATCGTTGGAAGTTTATGGAGTTTTACTTTAGTTTTGTAATGCCAAAATAATCAGTTGTTAAAGAGTTTTATTTTTACTGAGCCTGGTCTACTTTGTACTAGGAGATATTCTAATACGATTTTCCATTTTATCTGAAATACTGATTCCTAAAGGCTAAACATGTTTACTTGCAACTACGTAACTATTTCAGAGAGACAATATGTAGCTTATTGGTTGGTGTGACTATTTCAGAATGTTGCATTCTGTAACATAAGAGCCGAGGTGGCGCAGTGGTTAGAGTGCAGCACTGCAGGCTACTTCAGCTGACTGCAGTTCTGCAGTTCGGCTGTTCAAATCTCACCGGCTCAGGGTTGACTCAGCCTTCCATCCTTCCGAGGTGGGTAAAATGAGGACCCGGATTGTTGGGGGCAATATGCTGACTCTGTAAACCGCTTAGAGAGGGCTGAAAGCCCTATGAAGCGGTATATAAGTCTAACTGCTATAAGTCTAACTGCTATTTGAGGCTGCTCCCAATTTTTTTTTCCCATTCAGATGAAATGAATAAATGGACTTGTAAAGTGATAAAAAAAATTGGTGTTGGTGAAACAGACTTTCTGACGCTTCATCCTGGCAATAAATCCACTTGGAAAGTGAAATACGATATACTTGCCGTAGCTATTATTATAGTAGTGCTGAAAATTCTATTCTTGTTGGATGATGAATATGAGTGGTAAGTGTCCTTATCTTTATTTTTTTTTAAAAAAGAGAATATTTAACTTTGCAACTCTGAATTGTAAAGTTATTAGTCAAATGTTCTTAATTATAAAAAAAATCTTTAAGAATTGAAAATGGTTTAGATAAAAGATAGCTTCTTGTTTGGTTAATATTAATTTTCACCCATGCCTCTTCACCGGATACCTTTGGGTGAGTCAGTTTCTCTCAGCCCAGCCTTCTTCCCCAGATTGTTGTTGTTTGGAAAAAGGGAGTCAGCATTGTGTACAGTCTTGAGCTCCTATACAAGAGACAATACGCAAACCTAATAAATATAATAAATAAAAAAAATTAATTGCAACTTGCATTTCCTTTTGCCATTTTCCTACGACAAATTATGTTCATTAAAGCCCTAACAGCGTCAGAATTTATTGAACCTAGTATTAATCAAAGTATTATTTATCTTATGTGCAGGCAGATAAAAATTGTTTTGACGCAGTGAAGTTTAATATTTGGGCTGCGCTGGCAACCTGAATTTCTACATGTGAAAATTTAGCGATGCCCCTCTTTGATGGCAGCAGATGCTCATTTGTAGTGTAGTGTAAATATAAGGCTGACAGACTACAGTACTTTTAAACAGCCCAGTGGTGGTAATTCAAATATTAAATACGTTTTGATAAGTTTAAACGCAGGTTCATGATTCCAATAAATAAGCCAATCTGATTAGTATTTTGTACTTTCAGGTTGCTGGCAAACTACACGGAGGAAAGAAACAAAAAAAATGAAGGTAATCAAGCTTTTTAAAAATAGCAATATAGATTAAGTTTTGTAATTTCAACCATTCCTCTTAAAGCATCTATAATTGTGAAGACTTGTCTGAAAAATATTCAAAATTAGGGAAAAAATCTCTGCATGGTTTGTAATATGTTGGCAGATGACTTTAAAAATATTCAAGGGATTGCCTGAATTTTTAGAGTTGCTACTTATAGGATATAAGTTTTGAGTCAGTGAATTCAGAGATCATGTGAATCAACCAGTTCTTCAGTTCATGACCCGACAAAACAGCGATCGACAAAATAGCGCCGACAAAATAGCGCCGACTACAACGCGATGTCATAATCGCGCCCACAACTCCGCCTTGATATAAGCGCGACGACAAAACCGCGACGAAGAAAACCACACACCATTTAAAAGCAGTAGAAATTTATTATGTCAATAAATAAGTTAAAAATTCAGTCCCAGGCATTCACAGACTGGCTGCAAGTTTATGCTTTTCTTTCGCACAATCTCTCACTCTTTCGATGCAGTTTCCCTCAAACGTTCCTGCTGTCCATAGCTGTGATCCATATTAAACTTTTTTGATGACCTACATGTTTTGGGTCAGTGGGGCGCTGTGTTTCCGAGAGCTATTATGGTTTAAATCAATTAAATTATAAACTATAAACTATTATGGTTTAATGAAGATGGTTTTGTCACAGGGTGACAAAGCCGGTGAAATCATTTTATAGGCTTCGGTGTAGGTTGTTTGGGATTAAATCATTATCTTTGAAAATCTGCATTAGGAAGTAGACTTGTTTATATTAGTTAATATATGCGCTTAATCTTAGGATATCGGAAAATCAGTGTAGCACATTTAATTGCAAAGTGGAAAGAGTTAGCCTGGTTTGTTTGTGTAATAAGGCTTGCCTCTTTCCGAGTTTGTTTCTCTGTTGAATGCTTTTAAGAGAAGAGTTACAAGTTCTCTTGTTCTACAGGTTGTCAGATTTTTGATATTAGAAAATGGTACATGGTTGTAAAGAATATTCTGGATGTGGAGCAGAAAAAATATAATGAAGAAAGAATCAGGTATGTTTCTTAAATACATTCTCTTAGTTATGCGAAACAAAAGCAAAGGAGTAAGAAATAGTGAGCCAAAGGAAATAGAGCATTATAGGAAAAGAAAATACAGCTTAATGTAGTTTATATCAACACCGGTCATTGCATCTCTCCATTATCTTTATATCCATGTGAACCAATCTTGCTTCCCTCACATGTATACACTGCTTCATCCATTTTTTCAGTCCTTTAATCTTCCCTTTTTTTCAGTTTCTCATCAACTTCAATCAATAATAGTTTTATCGGTCTTCCTGTTACTCTCAACCTATTCATATATTTCTTTTGGAACTCAACCCTGATTCATTCTGTTTGAACGACCAAACCGGCTTAGTGTACATCATTCACTTTTAATATTTGGTCCCTCTTCTTCAGTCATGACTTTTATCTCTTCTTATTTTTCATGTCAGCCTTCTTAAACACCCTCTTTCCACCACGTTCCACTTGTTTCCCTGACACACCCGAATCTCACTTCCTGGTAACAAAGTGAACAGAAGCCTTCTCCTAAATGTAGCCATTTCACTTTTTCAACAAACGTTTATTCCTTGCAACAACGTCACACAACATCACCGGCTCATCTTAAAATGTCTTCACTTTCTATCTTTAATACATATTACTACATTTAACTGTTTGCTGTGATTTCCTCCCCCACTCTAACCTCCCCCTTTTTTTTGGGAACTCAGACCAATTTGCAGTGAGTATAAACATTTAGAGCTCCTTTGAAGCCATACTGTAAATGGTTGTATTTGCCTAGTTGTATGATAAGTTGTATATATGGATTCATGTTAGACTTCTGTTGTGGATATGCGCTATTAGTTTTGCCATTGCTGCTGTTCTCTAAGTTGAAGTCCCCTATCAGATATTGTTGCGTGACCCGACAAATGTGCGCTAGTCAAATGCGCGCCGACAAAACCGCAACATCAAAACCGCGATTAGGGTGAGGGTTAGGGTGAGGCTTAGGGTTAGGGTGAGGCTTAGGGTTAGGGTGGATGGGTTATAAGGTTGTTTTCACGTCGTAGTTTGTTGATTGTTGATTGGCGCACGATTTTGACGTCACGGTTTTGTCAGCGCATTTGACTAGCGCGCATTTGGCGGTGAACCATATTGTTGGTGTTACATTTCAGTTTTCAGGCACAGTCTTTAATTCGTACATGTCAACTCTCCACCTCACAAGCATGTCTGTATTTTCACATTTCTTTAATATACATTCTACACATGTAGTCTTCTGATTTCTCAACATTCCCACTATATTTATGTTTCCTTTTCATCAGTATATTGCCTGGATGTGCATTTTCTTCCCATTTTTTTGGCAAATCATTATCATTCCCCTAAGGATCTCAAAATATTCCAAATATTTCCTCATGTCGGTTTTATCCCAAATTATTTTATGTTTTTTTTATTTTTAATTCAACTCATTCTGCTGAAGATTCCTTATTGGCCATTTTCATTCACTTGAAGAACTATATTTTATTATAATCGAAATTGTTTTCCATTACCCAGCCTGCTTTAAGCATTAGCTTGTTTAACTAATTCTTGCTCTGTTTGTTTTTGTTCATTGCAACCTTCTGTATTTCACATTATATTTACAGTATACAGTATTTCACAGTTTATTCTATGCTTCTTTTATCATTTTGCAGCAATCATTAGCTAATACACTATAGTGTAAATTCTTCAGAACTATGCGTAATATTGTACTACTGTGTCAGAGGTTATCTGATTCGCAGTGAAGAGAGTCTGCTTAAACAATGAAGTGCACGGCTTTCGGTGAGGTTTATTTAAACAGAATATCTATCAGCAGGAACTGGATGAATTCCAATTCCTGCAAGCCATAATATTATACAGCATTATGGATAATTCTAAAAAGTTCACAATTTCCCCTCACTGATTCTGTTCTGTCTGTTCTGCTCTGTTCCTCATCCACAAAAGACTCTTACGCTTAGTCATTCTGCCTAGTATTCTTTTTCATATCTATAACTCCATGGCGTTAACTCTTCTACGGTATTCTGTACTATAATTTGTTTCAGTCTATTCCAAAGGGTTTCCTCTTCTTTGCATCTATTTATTTTCTATTTATTGTGTTGGGAATTATATTGCTACTCCCTTTTCATATGTGGGTTAATGAAGAGCCGAGGTGGCACAGTGGTTAGGGTGCAGTACTGCAGGCCACTTCAGCTGACTGTTATCTGCAGTTCAGCGGTTCTAATTTCACCGGCTCAAGGTTGACTCAGCCTTCCATCCTTCCGAGGTGGGTGAAATGAGGACCCAGATTGTGGTTGGGGGCGATATGCTGACTCTGTAAACCGCTTAGAGAGGGCTGAAAGCCCTATGAAGCGGTATATAAGTCTAACTGCTAAGTCTAACTGCTTAACATTTTATCTTCCTGCAAGCTTTCAATTTTCATTTTGGGTTATTTTTTTTTCATTTCTTTTTTTCCATGTTTTTCCCCAAGGTCCCCTATGTATCAACTAACATTTTAAACTCTCATTGTTCTCATATCCTTTATTAATGCACTCAGTCTTTTTTAATACACTTATAATTTATTGACATTTTCTATACATACAATTAAACAGACATGAGCCGTCTGTTTGAACACTATCCATTTGAGGAAAGAATAATGCTACTAAAGAGAGAACGATAAAGTTAGAAGTCCTGTAAAACTGTGTATGTGGGAGGGTGACATAATGTAAGCTGTGAGTGTATCTCAGCTCTCAGAACTTAAGGGAAGGGGGACCTGTATATCGGTTTGATTGTAACACAGTGTTTCTCAACCTTGGCAACTTGAAGATGTCTGGACTTCAACTCCCAGAATTCCCCAGCCAGCGGGCTGGGGAATTCTGGGAGTTGAAGTCCAGACATCTTCAAGTTGCCAAGGTTGAGAAACACTATTGTAACATGACCATTTGGAGATATTTAGATGTTTCCTCCATGCACTCACAGCCAGTATTTCATTTTTAGGCGTTTATGGCGATGTGAGAAGCCACTACTATATTCAGCCTCTGAAAAGTACGTTGTCCTCAAGAAGAAACGTGAGTATACTTACTGTTACTTCCCTTTCCTAAAATACACATCATATTCTTTTTTGTTCAGAGAATGAGAGGCCAAAATAACTTGCTCTTCCATTATAAAATCAATTTTTTAAAAATTTTTATTTCTCATATATACATTCACAATTATATGATCTCATAACTGTTATTAATAATATGTATTTGTAACAATTTTTCTCCCCTACAGTTGACAATATAAAAGAAGTAGCTTTCTTACCATCCTATAAACCCATCTTATTTTACAACAATCCTACTTCTTCTTCCTTCCTTCCCTCCTTCCTTTCTTCTCTCCTTGTCTCCTTCCTTCGCTTCTTCCTTTCCTCCCTCCTTCCCCCTCCCCTCCCTCCTTTCTTCTCTCCTTCTCTCCTTCCTTCCCTCCCTCCTTCCCCCTTCCCTCCCTCCTTTCTTCTCTCCTTCTTTCCTTCCCTCCTTCCATCCCTCCTT